TCTGCCTTGCGGGGGGAGAGTAGTCTTAGCGAACAACAACCATGTGATAGTAGTCGTAGTGAACAACAACCATGTGTTCCTTTACCAACTGACCCGGGTCCCTCGCCAACTGTACCCACACCTTCTCCTATTCAACCTCCTCAGTCTACACAACCCACTCAGGAACTTCGGGTCTATACAAGACGAAATAGAACTGCTGAAAGAATAGAGAACCTAACACCACTTCCAGCTGTTGTCCAAGAATCTAATCCGGCTCCAAAATCATCTGAAACTCACTCAGGTACGGAATCTATAGACACTAGTGATTATGAGCTTACCCCGCCTGTGAAAGATGATTCTGATGTTCCTTGCACTCAACATCCTATTGCCTGATTTGTTTCATATGAGAGGTTATCTCCTCCCTATTATGCATTTGTAACTGCTATTGACAACATAAAGGTTCTGAATTCTATTCAGGTTTCCGAGGTAGGACCAATATTTCGTGCATTCTATCAATTGATACTCACTCAATTTGACACAAAAATCTTGGCTCTCAAAACAGATAATGCACGAGATTTTTTCAACACCTCTCTAGAAGCTTGTCTTACTCAGCATGACATCTTTCACCTTAGCACGTGTGTTGATACTCTCCAACAAAATGGGTTGCTGAGCGGAACAAATCGTCACTTGTTGGAGGTAGCCCGCTGTCTCCATTTTACCACATTGGTTCCTAAATGTTATTGGGGCGAGGCAACATTGACCGCTGCCTACCTCATAAATCGGATGCCCTCTTGTATTTTGGGTTTCCGTAGTCCAATTGATGTCCTCCTTCGCTCCTTTCCAAATACTTGTACACTCTCTTCAGTTGTCCCTACCAAACTATTTGGTTGCTTCGTCTTTGTTCATATTCACAAACAACACCGCAGTAAATTAGATCACAAATCTGTCAAATGCATATTCATAGGGCATTCGACCAACAAGAAAGGCTACAAGTATTATTGTTCTTCAACTAAAAAAGTCTACAATTCTATGGATGTCTCCTTTTTTGAGCATCAATTATACTACCAAGGTTCTGTCATTCAGGGGGAGAGTAGTCATAGTGAACAACAGCCCTGTGTTACTTTACCAACTGACACGGGTCCCTCATCGACTGTAAAACCTCCTCCATCTCCTATTCAACCTCCCCAGTCTACACAACCCACTTCTCAGAAACTTCGGGTCTATACAAGACGAAACAGAACTGCTGCAAGAATAGAGAACCTAACACCGCTTCCAGCTGCTGTCCAAGAATCTAATCCAGCTCCAAAACCCTCTAAAACTCACTCAGGTACGGAATCTATAGACACTAGTGATTATGAGCTTACCCCGCCTGTGAAAGATGATTCTGATGTTCCTTGCACTCAACATCCTATTGCCTGATTTGTTTCATATGAGAGGTTATCTCCTCCCTATTATGCATTTGTAACTGCTATTGACAACATAAAGGTTCTGAATTCTATTCAGGTTGCTCTCTCACACCCGGAATGGAGAAAAGCTGTGAATGAAGAAGTTGCTGCACTAGAAAAGAGTGAAACGTGGATTGTGTCTGATTTGCCCAAGGATACGAGACCAGTAGGAGACAGTTGGCTATTTACCATCAAATGTAAGGCACACGGAAGCATGGATCGGTTAAAAGTTCGACTGGTTGCAAAATGTTATACTCAGTCATACGAAATTGACTACCAAGAGACATTTGCCCCAGTAGCCAAACTGAACTCCATTAGAATCCTACTCTCCATTGTAGCAATCCGAGACTGGCCCCTTATGCAACTTGATGTAAAAAATGCATTCCTTAATGGAGATCTTGAAGATGATGTATACATGGATTTACCGCCTGGTCTTGAAGGGTCCTTCCCTAGTGGCAAAGTATGCAAGCTCCAGAAATCTCTGTATGGTCTCAAACAATCTCCCTGTGCTTGGTTTGACCGATCCACCAATTTCGTAATCAAGTGCGGTTATACTCAAAGCCAGACTGATCATACAATGTTCGCAAAAAGATCCGAGAAGAAGATTGTTGTACTTATTGTATATGTGGATGACATCATTTATACCGGTGATCACACTGAAGAATTGACAAAGCTAAAGAAGTTCCTAGCCCATGAATTTGAAATCAAGGACCTCAGAGACTTGAAGTTCTTCTTGGGAATGGAAGTTGCAAGATCCAAAATGGGGATAACCGTAACTCAAAGGAAGTACACATTGGACCTATTAAAAGAAACTGGTATGTTTGGATGCAAACCAATAGATACTCCAAATAGATCCGTATAAAAATATTGGAATGAAGAATAATAGTTTACGTGCGACAAAGGACGATATCAGCGGCTTGTTGGAAGACTTATTTACTTATCCCACACCAGACCAGACATAAGTTTTTCAGTAAGTATAGTAAGTCAATTCATTAACTGTCCTACTGAGGAACATATGGGAGCTGTCAACCGTATCTTAAGATACTTAAAGATGACACATGGGAAAAGATTTA